TTGGCCTCTTCTCTGTCTTCATCTAGGATGCTGGGTTCTGCTGGGGGACAGTCACAAGCCATTGAACTAGGCAGTTCTGCTCAGCCTGCCTTGGCATGACTTCTTTCTTTCCTGCTCCAAGCCATCAGCCAATCCTTTTGGTCCTGCCATCAAAATAATTTAGAGCCAGAACATTTCTCGCCACCTCTCTCACAAGCATCTTCTCTCCTCTGTCCCTGCTATTGCCTTGGTGGCCCCTGGACCTGCTACTTGGAGTCCACTCCCAGCATAGCAGGTGAATGAGCCTGTGAAACAGTAAGCGTGATGATGTCCCTCTTCTGCTTGAAGTACTCAGCGTTTCCCTGCCTAGTCCCAGCCACGCTGGGGCCCCATGGGATCCACCCCCCCCCCCCCCCCCCGCCCCCGGCAGCTCCCCCCCATCTTCTCTCCTCCCCATCCCTCGCCACTGTGGGGGGCCTCCTTTCTCATCTTCAAGAACACCAGGCATCTGTATCCTGCTGCTCCTCTCTCCGGAATGATCTTCCCCTGGGTATCTTGGTATCTTCCTCCTTCACCCTCTTCCCCCCAAATTCTACCTTCTGCACTGCCTATTCCATTTCCCTGCTAGTCAGTCTCCATAACATTCACTATCTGAAATATCTGTTTTACTATTTTTGTAACGTGTCGCCCTTGCTGACATCGAAGCTCCAGGAGACAGCCGTTTTGTCCCCTAATGCCTAAACCATGGATGTAGTCGGGGCTTAATATATGTGGTATGATTTGCTGCCTTTATGAAATCTGATTACACCATTCCAGAAAACACATTCTGTAGTATCAAATCCCAGGGCTCCATAAATGGCAAAGGAAGGAAGGGACAAGAATTTATGTTCAGCCTCAGGAAAGGAGGATGGCAGTGGGGGAGTGAAGGGTGAGAGTTAGCCTTCACATCGTGAAGCTCCACAGAGAACTCCTACAAGGCCACCCCCGGCCGGGAGACGAGGCCGGTCTCATTGCCGACACTAGGCTGCTCTTCCCCGGGAAGGACGCCGTCGGTAGAATACAGGTAGAAACTCACTTGCTCAGTGGCTTTTCTGCCATGACGTGGTGAAATCCTTCACCACCAGAAAGTATCTGGTTTAGGAAGAGTGTTCATGTGAGGAATAGTCTGGCTTCCTGCTGGGTAATCAGGAGCTGAGGTCCTGCTCTGGGTCACTTAAAAGCTAATTCCCACTTGTTACTAGGTTTAAATTCAGATCCAAGTGAGCTATATTTATTATCACCCTCTGGGTCTGAAGGAGGCAAAGCATACGGTTTTCTGGAAGAGAGGCTCGAACTGTATCCATTTCTGAGGGTCCCCTCAAGGAGTCCCCCTCGTTAATCTTCGTGGTCGGCATGCTGGGGGAAGAGGAAAAGCACGAGGGGATGCTACCTCATTCTCTCAGTGGGAAATTGACTTGCCTGTGCCCAGCTGCTGTGCTGGGCTTTCAGACCCTCTCCTTTGTCGGGCAGCCCACGTGGGCAGAAGCACAGCTTGATTCACTCTGGGGGCTGGAATTAACCTAAAGGAGCCCCACAGAGAAACAGTAGAGTGGTCGCTCCCAGGCAGGCTACTCGATGTCGGCCCCTCTTTACTCCAGAGTTGCTGTCTGTCCCTCTATTCCTGTGGGTGGCACGGGGCTGTAGATCTCCTTGCTCATGACCCCCTCGAGGCACCCCCACCAGTCTGCTGCCTACTTAGCAAGTCTCAGGAGCCTCCTGTGGCCGGCAAGGCCATTAGCAAATTCTCCAAAACAGAATTAGCTGGGGTACCTTTTCATCACCTGTTCCTCTTCGGCCTAGAGTAAGAAATCAACAGATGATAACTGAAGGGGGCCACGGGCCTCTTCAGGTAGCCTCTCATCTGAGGGTTTTCTTTTCTTTTTTTTTTTTTTTAAAGATTTTATTTATTTATTTGACAGAGAGACAGATCACAAGTAGGCAGAGAGAGAGGAAGGGAAGCAGGCTCCCCTCTGAGCAGAGAGCCCGATGTGGGGCTTGATCCCAGGACCCTGAGATCATGACCTGAGCTGAAGGCAGAGGCTTAACCCACTGAGCCACCCAGGCGCCCTATCTGAGGGTTTTCAACTCCAGACTCTGTTTCATCATCAAGGGATTTTGAGAACTTCAAAAGTCATTTGGTCCCTACCCTATAAGCCAGGCAGCACCCACTCCAGAGAGAAGCACATCTGTCTTATACAGAAAGGTCTCCGCTCCCGCAGAATGCCCCAGTGGATTCTAATAATCCTTGAAAGGGAGAATTTTATTTTCTACCTAATTTGAACCCTCTTTCTTTCTTTCTTTCTTTCTTTCTTTCTTTCTTTCTCTTTCTTTCTTTGTCTTTCTTTCTAATAATCCTTGAAAGGGAGAATTTTATTTTCTACCTAATTTGAACCCTCTTTCTTTCTTTCTTTCTTTGTCTTTCTTTCTAATAATCCTTGAAAGGGAGAATTTTATTTTCTACCTAATTTGAACCCTCTTTCTTTCTTTCTTTCTTTCTCTTTCTTTCTAATAATCCTTGAAAGGGAGAATTTTATTTTCTACCTAATTTGAACCCTCTTTCTTTCTTTCTTTCTTTCTCTTTCTTTCTTTGTCTTTCTTTTTAATAATCCTTGAAAGGGAGAATTTTATTTTCTACCTAATTTGAACCCTCTTTCTCTGTCTTTCTTTCTAATAATCCTTGAAAGGGAGAATTTTATTTTCTACCTAATTTGAACCCTCTTTTTCTTCCTTCCTTCTTCCCTTCCTTCCTTTTTTTTAATAGCTTTTATTTTTTTTTAATTTTTTTAAATTTATTTTCAGCGTAACCGTATTCATTGTTTTTGCACCACACCCAGTGCTCCATGCAATCCGTGCCCTCTCCAATACCCACCACCTTCTTTCTTTCTTTTTTAAACCTAGGTCTTTTCTTCATTCAAAGAAAGGTTCTCACTCTTTTACACACTGGCCTTCTAAATATCTAATTTAACATCACAGGCAAAATGGGAATTGACGTAATATTGACTCTGTGTGCTGACTCCGTTCAGCGCTCACTTTGTGACCTTGGTCAGCTAGTCACTCAACTCCGCTTCTCCATTTGCACATCTATAAAATGCGGGCAGTATGCTACCCATTCAGCACCTCTTTATTGGGTCCCTCTTAGAAAGCAGACCCTGCATGGTAGTGGTAGCCTTTCCCAACTAACAGAGACATTGATGCTGGGGTTCTAGGTGCAGCCAGTTTCAGTCAGGGAAATTTTGTGGCTAAGCACGTTGCTGGTACCGCTGAAGTCACCCATTATGTCCCCTGACTCCTGCTGTGTCAGGTTGACTACGACGGGCACAATGTTAGGATGTATATTCCCCAGCATTTACTGAACAGTTACTATGGGATGGACACTTAAAAAAATAATGTAAATTCATTCATTTAATTCTTACTAGCATCATATCAGGTAGGGAACTATTATCCCTTCCCCCATTTTATAGAGTAGTAAACTGAGGCATGAAGTGAAGTAAACTGCTCAAGGTCAAGTACATAGCAGAGCAGGGGTTTGAAGCTGGGTGGTCTGACTCCAGAGCCCAAGATTGTTGGTAACTAGTCATCATGCTGCCTTCCTTCTAAGGGTTAGGGACATAATAGTTAGTAAACCAAAAGGGACTCTGCTCTCCTGGAGCTCGCTGTCCAGGAAGGTAGATATTGAACACACGATTCTAATAACAGAGATGAATGTGCTGAAGGAAAGTAACATGATATTGTGAGAACATCTGGCAGTGACCCTTGATCTCTTGACTGCATCGAGAAAGGGACACTTGACCTGAAATCTGCTGGCTAAGAGGAGCTAATCATTAATCAGGGGTGGGGGTGAAGGGCCGTCTGAGTAAGGAGACGGACATGTGCAAAGGGCCGGTGGTGGGAGTGGGAATGTGTGGAGGACCTGAGAAAGGCAGTGAGGCTGAACTGCAGAGATTGATGGGGAGAGTGGATGAGAAGAAGCTGGAAAAGTAGGCAAGGGTCACCTCATTTAGGTCCTAATGTGTCTGTTAAGTATTTTGGTCTTTGTCACAGAAGAATGGCAATCCATTCATGAGTTTGAAGGCAGGGCCTTAATATGATCAGATTCCTAGGTTGAAAAGAGCTGTGTCACACACATCAAATGAGGAGATGAATCTGAGAATCCTTCCAGAAGCTGTAAAGTGCTGCAGCATTGGTGGTTAGTTAATGTGGACCTGGTCACTTCCCCCCGTGCTTTCACATCACTGTGCGTACCCCTTGATCCCTGCAGGCCTGTGCCCCTCATGGGCAGCTGGATGCCCCTGGAGCCTGGAGCCATCTCTCAGGCGATGTGAGGGGCCAGTCTTCAGCGTGGCCACACTGTTTCCCTTGCTGAGACCTGCACGGCCTGAGCTCCCTGCGATGGCCCGAGTCCTCACTCACATGCGCATCAGCCCTGGTCCCCTGGCGAGCCTCCAGTGCTTGGCCAGAGCTCTGTTCTTGTTCTTCCCCCGGAAGGGGTGCCCGGGATGACCAAATCCTGGCTGAAGAGGGCATGTGCTACTCCTCCAAGCAGGGGACACTATCGAGACCCGCCGGGGAGCATTGTGAGGAAAGGGAGCTCCAGCAAGTGTGCTGTGTGCACAGATGTCCACATTTGTAGCCTGTGTTTTCTTTCAAAAGAACTTTGCAGATGGACACACACATATGAAGAGAGGACTCCTGAGGGCAGAGGTCAGGGACTCCATGGACCTCAGCACCTGGTGTGCTACCGTGTGTGCCCAGGGCTTCCGTCAGCGTGTCCTCCCGGCTCCCTGACCCCCAGACTGTGTGAGATAATGGGGGAGGATCTCTGCCAGAGACACGGGCTGCTCCGGGGTGGGCCTTGAGTTCTCCCCCTTCCCCGCTGAACCGTGTGTGGTTCTGTTTGACTCCCTTGCTCCCGCTTCCATCACAGTGAGGGGAGGCCCCAGGGGAGTCCCTCTGCAGGCTTTGCTGGCCTCAGTGTCACTTACCCTGGGCTTTGACATCATCCACCACGGGGCAAGGTGTCTTCACAATCACGTCGCTGGGCCTGGAGCGCCGTCCGGTGTTGTCCACTCCCCACAGGGTGAACCTGGCCGGTAGGGGAAGGCGTCGTTAGCAGAGAGGAGCTGAGGCCCCGGCTGATGGCCACCGTCTGTAGGGACGGGTTTGCCGCAGGGCACAGAGCTGTGGTTCCCAACCAGGCACCCTCAGACCGGCAGCATCAGCATCCCCTGGGCACGTGGCAGCCACGAGAACTCTCCCGCCCACCCCCAGCCCGACTATAGCAGAATCTCTAGAGGTGCTCTCACAAGCCTTCTCGGGGAGACTGAGGCACCTGAGCCCAGGGGAGGAATATGTATCTGAAGACACCTGGGCCAGAACTTGGGCTGGGTCTGAAGGGCCGCTGCTGAGAATGTGATGATCTGGTTGGGGGCGGGGCCGGGACCACAGCTGGGGACTGCGTGGGACTGCCTGGCCTCCTGGCTGTCCGTCAGGCCCGGGCCAGCGCTGGGCTTGCCCTTCTCCCTGCCCCAGGAGGCTCAGTCCATTTCACTGGCCTCTCCTCCTCGGGTCAGATCCACCTTCTTTGCCCAGTACTAAGCCCCACCATGACCCTGGTCCAAATTCCAGCACCCTGCATCCCTTCTGTCCCCGTGCCCTTTCCCTCCTTGTTCTGAGTGGGCTCCCTGCACCACACCAGCCCCTCCCAGCTTCCCAGGGGCTGCCTGGATCCCTAGCAGTGGCAGCCCCCCCGAAATGTTTTCATCATCTGGCCCTCCCACACACCCGATCAGCCCACCTGACACGTACTGTTCCTAGAATTGTGACTGAGGCCACCAAACAGCAGCTGGGGCATCCGATCGGCCTGTCGGATCCTGACCTGGCTCTGATCCTGAGTCTTGTCCTACAACCCGGGTCTCAGGCCGGGTCTCAGCTCTCTTCCAGTGCCCACCCACTCCAGACTCTCTCAAACTAAGTCTCTCAGGGATGGGCCCAGAGGCGGCCGGTGCAGCCTGCAGACCTACACCTGCTGTCTGGGATTCCCACACATGGACAGGCCCACACACACCTGCAGCCCCTCCACGGAGCAGGACTGCTAAGGAGAGAGAGGAGAGCCTGTGAGGATGGCCACCATCCTGCAAGCTGGGCTGGGACGGCCCCCTAGGGTCCGAGCGAACTTCCTCTCTCCCAGGAGACCCTGAGGCCTGAGAAGTCCGGCTCCCCCTCCAAGGGTGGGCCACCTGATCTTTGTGGCACACTCTGTGTGACTCTGCTGTTGGCAGGCACTTCTCACCAGAGTCGGGAAGTAAGAAGCCCTGTTCCCTCCCTGGCCAGTACATGGGCACCATGCTGCTAGCGCCTGTGGCCCCAGGCCCCAGTTCTCACCGCCAGCTTCTCCTCCTTCCTTGCCCCTCCCCACCACGGGTCTGAGTCCTGCTCCTGCGTCCCTGCCCTGGTTTTCCTTGGCTGCGATCCAGCCTGCCTGGTGTGCTATCCTCTGGGAGACAGCTCTGCCTTATCTTTTCCCCTCCACCTTCCAGGGTCCTGAGCACCGCCAGAGCTGGAACCTGATGTCATGCTGCTTACTTGTCTGACATCACCTGCCCTAGACAGTCTGTAGCTGGCTTCCAGCCACTTGTCGTGGTCCACCATTACATAACCCTTTAATTTCTAGCAGGGTCCCTGGACCGTGGTGAGAAATGTCCAAAGCCTCGGGCACCAAACTGGTTACCAACGGGACCCCCTGCTTCGGTGCCTGGGAGCCTGGCATGGTGTGACCCCCACCCCCAGCCCAGCTGCTCCCACTCCTCTGGGCAGCTTCGCTCCTCAAAGTAAGCTCCCCACTCACTCGATCGGATCCCCAGCTGGGATGAAAATGCCTGTGCTTAAGTCAATTCTCAATTATTCTGACAGGGGCAATTAGTACAAAATTTAGAGTCCTGAGCCCTACTATTTTTAATAGCAAAGCAAGGTGTTAGGAAAGAAGATGCTTCCTCTAACCTTCTAAGTAGAGATGGTGCTTATCCTCAGAGCCATTCCTCAGCGGGCCGGCTCCGCAGGTCCTGGGGGATGCGGACAGCAGCCAGCTTAAATTTACGACCAAAGCCCGGGGAGCACTTTCCATATTTTCATGGGGAAGTAGCACATGCACTAACTTCGGGAAGGGCTGCTCTGTTCATTGTCAGCATTGTGGTTTCCACCATCGAGCACTCACAGGACAGTAAGAAGGTGAGCTGGAATGAGTGCACAGGAGAGAGAAGCCCTACTCCCAATCCGGAGGGTTGACGTGGAAATACAGTTACTGCCTCGTCCGAGACTGCCCAGCCGGATTGTTCAGCCTGTCCTTAGAGCCTGTGATGAACGGTGTGAGTGTGTGTGTGAGAGAGGGTGTGTGTGTGGGTGGAGAGTGTTTGTGGGTGTGAGAGTATGTGGGTGTGTGAGAGTGTGTGTGTGTGTGTGTGTGTGAGAGAGCGAGTGTATGCGGATGTGAGAGAGCGTGGGGTATATGAGTGTGTGTGGGATATGACAGTGAGTGTGTAGAGTGTGAGAGTATGTGTGTGTGTGAGTGATCTATGAAGGTGTGTGTGAGAGTGGTTGTGAGAATGAGAGTGTGTAAGGTGTGTGTGTGAGTGAGAACGAACACAGCCTGGCTCTGGCTCCTAAAACTTGGTGTGCAAGGAGCACCCTGGTGCCCTGTGTCCAGGGCTGACTGCTCATGTGCTACTTGCACGTGTCCCTGTGCAAGTGTGGCAGATTCTACTGATGGCTCCGGGGCAGCTCCCCTTTTCCAAACTATCTGTCCGCTCCCACACGCGCCCAAAGGCAGTGATTTTCCTGGGAGCACAGGCTGTGACGAGCAGGTGGGCTAGAAGGGCAGCCACCTCCTCGCTCTGGCCTCAGTTTCCTTCTCTGTAGACTAAAGTATTGAACCAGACACACTAAGATCCCTTTCAACCACGGAATTCTTAAATATTTACGTACTGTGGGCCCAGAATTCTCTGTATCATGTTTCTTAACTGCATTTAATAAAATGGGCAGGTGGACAAAATAAGCCAGCGATGCTGAGACGCATGGCTACCTCTGTGGAGCCCAGGGGAAGAGCCAGCTCCACGCTTTCACGTGAGGAAATGCCACTGTGCTGCTAGATCCTTCCAGCAGCCTGGAGCGGCTGCGGAGCGAGAGGTGGTCAGTGAAGGAAGGAAAGGCAGGCCCTGATTCAATTTTTTTTTTTTTTAAAGATCTTAACCTCTGCCACACCCCAGACAACCAGCTTGCCATTCTGCGGAAGTCACTCTGTGTTGCTGAAGCTCAGTTTCCTCAACTAGAAGACGAGAGCAAGACTCCAGCCTCGCAGGGTCCGCAAAGGTCCCCAGGGATTTGCACACACAGTAAGCACCCCATAAACGAAGGCTGCACTCTCCCTTTTAATAATAAGGGAACTTCGTTGCAATCCTGCTGACAATGACTAGTGCTCAGAAACAGAACCAGGCTTGGGGCCATGTGTTTCCAACAATTAACCCGGGCCTTTCTCCTCGTACCAGGCTCTGAAGATCTGCCCTCTGAGCTCCAAGGAGGACTGGCGCCCCTAGGCCCTCCACTGCCGTCTTCGCGTGATCTGCAGCGCCACCTAGTGGAGCGCCCCCTAGCCGGCAGCTTCTTCCCGCAGCTCCACGCACTGTCTGGGACTCTAACGTCCTCAACACAGACAGAAAGTTGGTGCTTGTGAGACCTAAGAGGGCAACGCTGGAGGTTCACCGAAGACAGCAGACTGGGAGGAGGTATCCGTCTCGGGTCTTTGTTCAGGAAACGTGGACAAATCAGGCCAGCGTGGGGAGGGTCCCAAGACGGGTGAGGGCTGGTCCACAGGAATTTCACAGTTCCTAATTAACAGCTGTGACTAAGTGACAGGAATTAGTGAGCTCTTATTATAAGTGAGAATTCCAGTTTCATTGAATTTGAGGCATTTTACTGCATTGTCTCTAATCTTTCCTCTTTCTGCCTGTTTCCTTCCTCATAAAGGGCCATAGCTGCCCAGTAGCAAGAGAGCTAAAATCCCAAGGAGGCCAGCTTTCCCTTGTCCTGGTATCCAACTTTCCATCTCTCTGTATTTTCCAGCTCCTCTAGAATATCCCTTGCCTTTATGTATCTTACTAGTAGGGCCCCCAGTTACATCTCTTTCCTCTATGGAAGACATTCAGCCTAAGCATCTACGTTCATCTTGGAATCCATGCCACTCACATTTCTGGTGAGTTGTTTTTAACCTTTGAATTCTTTACCTGTGGAAATGGAAGTGATTTATTCTGGCTACTTTGACTCTATTCTTGTGACCTCATCTGTAAACTGTAAAATGTTTTTCACACCTATGGGGTCCAAAGGTCCCAGATCTACATCACCAGGGATTCTGCCTTGATCCCTTCTCCCCATTTTCTCATCATGACTTGGATTCTTTCAGTCTCTCTCCTCTTTTGGTGGTTTTTGTTTTTTTTTTTAAATGTCTCTGCTTCACAACTACTTTCCTGTTGTTCCAGGAGCACAGGGAGAAACGAGGACTCTCTTTCAGGGAGAATGGGGCTATTCCAAGTGCCATGAGATAGGAGTCCACAGTGTTTTCTTTGGAGAAACGTGCTGACCATCTCTGCCTCTATAAATTATTTCAAAGTCACTGGAACTAGCTTCCTAAACCAGAGTTCTTGCTATTCTACAGTTTTCATCTGAAAAAACAAATTAATAATCTCCCTTGACGTAGAGCTTTCACTCTATTTTTCCAGAATCACTTTCTTCCATTCCCTTGTACTCACCATCTGCTTCCACGCGATTGGACTATTCCCATATCACTCTACCTACTGAAATTCTACATGACCCAAGTAAGTGATGTCCGCTCTCGTTAGAATGAGCCACTCCTTTCTCTTCTCTTCCACATATCCTTGTCCTTCCATCTAGCCCCTATGTCTTCCTATCTGATATTAAAGTGAGTTGTTTGTATATTTTCTTTCTGTGTTGCAAACTCTTTGAAGGATGGGGCTCTCCTGCCTTTCTTAATCCTCCCTTTCTAGTCCCTAGAAAGTTCTCTATAACGCCAAATCAGGATAAGACTTGAGAAACTCAAAATATCTTTCTGAGTTTCTGAGGGAACTCAAGCACAAAAAGGAAGGAGCTCAGAGCCATGGGACATTCAGGGTAAGAAACAGCTAGGCAAGTGTATGTCACTCACATGTAGATGGTGTCCGGTTCCAGGCATCGAATGATCAGAGAGATGGTGGTGAGCTGTTTGTCTGGCACCTGAGCGGGCATGGCACAAGGAGACTTTGCTCCAGAGATGATGTCATCCACAAAGCTCAGTACCGTTTCTGTCCAGGGGTGGGTGGGTGGGGAGGAATGGAAAAGGCCATGAGAAACATGCTGGCCAAGCAAGGAGATGGCACTAGTTCAATGAGAACTTAACATGAGAGCTGCTTGATCCTTGGTCCCCAGTCTTCTTGAATTTCTCGTAGAGAAAAAAGACCTAGAAGGAATTGTCTTTTCTGTTTCAGTAAATTTAATCAATTTAGAGCCATTTGTCCAGAGTGAGTTCAGAAACAACTATGGCAAGATGTATGCACATGTGTGAGTTCTTTTATGAAATGTTCTTGGCAAGGGCAGGGAGCAGCTGCTGTGGGCAGTGGTCCCTGCCAGCCCTTTGCAGCACCTGTACACATCAGGGACAGGGCCTCGGAGATAGCAGTGGACAGCATTCCGTGCCAGAAGGCCGCGCATATGTCTCCCGAGCTCGCTGACCATTTCAGGAGAGCTCATTTACCCTGCTCAGACTGCGGACGCCACCATCCTGTGGGGGACCACACTCACGCGTGGGTTTTAGGGATGATTTATGTTGACCTTTCCCTACATGTAGGCAGCAAAATACTAAGACATGGGACATTGTTCATGGGGTGTTTCCACTTCTTGAAGACTTCCCTCTTCTAGGGGGACCTGGCAACTGCAGAGTTTGCTTTAGGACAAGACATGGGGTAAGCACATCTGTTTGCTCATGCTTTTGCCCAGAGGGGGGTTATTAGCAAAGGAATTTTTTTTCTGTAATCATGGCAGTGGTTAGCACAGAATTGTTTCCTAATTGTGGGCTAGGATAACTAGTGTACTTATTGTTTCTTTGTGAGTGTGCCTAGAGGCAATGAAATGGACACCTCTTTAATAAACAAAAAGAAAAACAAAATCAAAACAAGACTCTGTCAGAGGCTCACCACGCAAAACTCTTAACTGGATGAGATGGCTGTTCTTGTTCTCCCCTCCCTGAACACACCCCCACCCCCAGCTTCTCCTGCACTGCCCTTGGACACCGGGGACCTGGAGCATAGACCAGGAGGCAGGACATTTTTCTTTTCTCTTCCTTTTACCAATGGATTGAGATGAACCCATGAAGTCAGAGAGACTCACCTGTCTCCACCTTGGAGTGGTCCATCCTGTCTGTGACCTTTTCTTGACGAATGAGGTAATCTACAATCTGCACCCCGATTGGAGGCTCTGAGTGTTCCCACTCCAGGACCACGAGGGTGCTGCTGGGCTCATGAACCGTGGAGAGTCTCAGCCTGAGTACAACACAGGAAGAGACATAACGTGAGGACCCTGTTGAGTCCTGCAGAGCCCTTCTGATGCTGGCCACTTTTTCAATGGTGACACACTCAGGTCTTCCTTCTAACCTTTCCCAACCAACCACTGCAAGGATCTCTCTGAGTACCTGGCCCCTTTACTAGAGAGCCATGGTTCTTGGAGATCCCCGGAATCTGTATTTTATTACTCTTAAGTGCCTGTTACAGATTAGGAACTCAATGTCTGTTTGCAAATAAGTAAATAAGTAGGTGAATCAAAGATGAATGAGCATCTACCTCTTATAGGGTCAGTGGACCAAGCCTTCTGGGTGGCCGGGTATAGGGCCTGGAAATGTAATTTCTGGATTTGCTCTTAAAAATAGGAGACTGTGCCGATAAAGTTCATACCATGGCTCACTAAGGCGGTATCTGGGAGAGCCCTGCCTTAACAAGGCCAAGGTCAGCTTAGTTTCCATAGTGTTATCAGGATCTGCCCTGTGGGGGGATCCCCAGCTTCTTCTCTCGCTATCAACACTAATAGATTTTCTTCCTGATACCTTCTGCTCGCTGGGCCTTGTGACAGGCTCAGTTTGGAGGCCATGCTCCTGGGGGGCATTACTGGGCAAGAGAAAGTTGCCCACGGGTCAAGTTCTCCTCGGGGTGATGTCCTATGGCTGCAAACTTGGGCTCCAATTTCAGGTTCTTTCTCTGCTCTTGGGTTTCGTTGAACATCCTGATTGTCCTAACTCCAGTCTTTCTTTGCTTTTCCCAATTCAGAATCTCCTCCTTCCATGCAAATTATCCATTTTGTCCATTCTTTGGCCTTGCCATTTCATACATCCTTGTGCCTTGCGGAGACTCCCTACACGTTATTGACGTCTGTGGTACGGATCTCCTCATGGTCCAAGTGGTTTCAAGTTGTTGCCTTGTTCTGACTTCGCAGGTGTATCTCAGATTTTTCACTTGCTTCCAGTTCCAGGTTTCTTTCTAGACCACTGACTTCTGGGGATTCTCCCAGCCCCTGCTCATTCCAGTCTCCCTCTGTCACACACCATCCCTGCCATTCACCCTCATCCTTGGTCCCCATATCTCACGACCTCCCATAACCATCGACCTCTGCTCTTTACTCAGCCCACAGATGTCTGTCGCGGTCTCAGGGGGTCACTGGGCCAGGTGCTACAGGCGGAGCACACCAAGGCAATGGTCCATTTCAATTCAGCAAATGTTTATTGAGCACCTATCACGTATCAGAATGCGCTTGGTGCTCAAGAAGGAGCGGTGCATGAGCTGGCTCCAGCCACCTTCTTCCGTGGGGTGGTCAACAGAAAACATACAATGATACATGTGACTGTACTAACGTGTGATAAGAACTTTAAGAAGAAAGCATGGGAGGCTGTGGGAGCAATAGCAAGGAATTCAACCAGTGGGAAAGTAATGCAAAACACATGCTGCTTAGTGGCTTGCTATGAAAGACTGCATAGTCTGCCTATGACATGAAAGATGGACTAGACCCAAAACAGTGCGGATATTGACAAATTCATTAATTAGAGTCATATGCCGAGAGCTATTTTCAAGAAAAAAGCATTAGGAAGCTTAAGTACGTAACTAAGCCTTTCTGAGAAGTCAGATTCTGTGAAAATGTGGACTAAAGCCGGCCTCTACTGAGAAAACAGCAGCATGCGTGATTTACATAGACTCGTGTAAAACCGGAGAGCATTTCTACTTCCAATTACCAAGAAACGTTCAAGAAACTAAGGTCTGCTACTAAAGGAAGTGATTAAAGTTGACAAGAGAAGTGAAATCCTTGATAACTGTTCCTGCTTATGGAAATTTAGCCCAATTTGATCGTTATCAATAACATACCGTAAACGCAGGCTTAGAAAGGAAATCAGCCCTAAGACACCAGTGGTGGGATCTTGTGTCCACTTGATGATAACTAGTGGCTTCAGTGTTGTGTCAAAATTCAGGTAGTTTTCTTAGTGGGTGCATCCATCCAGAAGCACCATCTGCTTCTAGTGTCTCCCTTGAAACCAGAAGAAAGGACTATGACTAATAATGAGCTTGATTCTCTTTTGACTCAAGAGGCCCTAGTCATGCCCTCTTAAAAGAGCAGGAATCCAAGCACTGGTGTATCTAAAACTACCCACAGAGAGAGGGCATGTAGACAAGAGAAGACGTCGGTTTGCGCTGTCTACTGTTGTGCTCTCCTCTTTCTCGGTTCTCTTCCGGTCAGTCCTGGCTCTTTGATACCCACCAGCACGTCCCTGCAACAGGCCGGAGGGCAGCAGCCACAGGACCAGCCTCTCGCTTGCTGGTGTCCTCCTGCTGGCTCCCTCCTGCTAACTCAGCCCTCCTACTCCCGAGGGTCCTGAGCCTCCCTTTGGGCTTTCTTTGCCTCAGCCACCCATGGGGCCATGCGACACCAGCTGTTCCTGCCAGCACTCCTTATGAGAACTGTATCTCTGTGCTTCACTCCCAGGGCACACGCCACAGTAGAGGCTAAGCGGGTGCCTGCCTCAGGCCTTAGCCTGTCAGGGCTTACAGGGATTTGCCCAGTTCTGTTCAGCCTTCCCCTGAGAGCAAGGAAATTAGACACGTTCGTCCTGAACCACCTCTGCAGCCCTCTGTGTTCTATTCACCCCTCAAATGCAGACAGCCCCAATTGCCATCTCCAATCCTCCCCTCTTCCCAGCTGATACTTATTCGGGAGCGTTCTTTCTCCTGCCTGTGGTTCCACTGTTCATTTCTTTGGGGTTGATTTAAGTCTTCTTATCTCTCGTGTCTATTTCTCCAAGCCATCCTTTCCTCTGACCACTGAACATCTCAGTAGAAGCTCCCTGCTCTGTCTCCAAGATGAGTCCAACCGGACACCCACCTCCTCCTCAAACCTGCATATCCCCTGATGCTTCTTTTCTCAGCTGTGTCCTATTCGTCTTCCCAGCCACCGGGGCCGAAGTCATAGGTCCATTCTCAACTTCTCCCTCCTTCTCCTTCCCACACCAGTGAGTCGCCCACAACCCCCTCCCCCCGCCACCGCCATTGGTTCTACCCAAAGTCATCTTTTCATCGTGTCCTCTCCACACTATCATGGCTGAGATCACAGCCTCTTAGGGGTGGCAGCTCTGCTTTCTGCTTGATGACCTGGGAAAACCATTCAGCCCATCTGAATGCATTTCCTTGTCTCTTAAACGGTAGCGGTAACAGTACCTAACGGCTCCACACAGTGCTGCTACCCCGGAAATGTGTCACTGGTCTCGTAGAGTCTCACTACCGATCTCTCACTTCCTCCACTGCCACGTCACTTTACCCGTCTGATCTTCTGCCCGTGCTGTCCTACCCTCTCTACCTTCAGGGAGAAACTCAAGTGCCATCTCCTTCGTGAAGCCTTCACCATGCCCCACATTCAGACATGACCATTCCCTTTCACACTTGACCTAAATGTCTCTGATAACCCTCATCAGACCATGTCTTCTACGGTGACACTCTGGGCAGCCTCCCCTAAGATCGAAGGCTCTCTGAGTCCTCGTGTTTTTCTCCCTGTTCCCTGGCACCCAGCTTCCTGTTTTCCCATGAGTGGATGCTCTCTAAGAGATGTTTGCAGAACCCAGTGGAGTGGGCACGCAACAGAGGCAGAGAAGGGGAGACATACACGGGCTGCGGGAGAGGCGCACAGGTGGGGAGTCCATCCGCTCCAAAAGCCGTGGCATCGCATCGACACCAGTCCTCGATGACATCTCCGGTCCCCGAGCACCACAGTGAGCTCATGATGGCCTCCTGTAAGAGCTGTAAGAGAAGGAAGGATGAGTGTCCGGGAGCCAGGGCTGTGGTCAGGAGACACAATCCAGGCTCTGCTTGGTTCTAGAGAACTTCCAGCTGGTAGGCTGGAACCCCATGTCACCATTTTCTTGACCTACAGTTCCTACCCCAAGAGACCGGTTCTGGGAAGCCAGACCTCACAGGACCTCCCGGGTGCTGCTGTCCCATTAGTGTACCGGTTCACCCCTGTGGTCGAGGGCTATCACCCTGGAAGTAAGTCTTACTTCTCCCTCCTTCTCCATCCATCCGTCACGCCACACCCAGGGCCCTAGCAACAATAACCTCTTGACCACGCACTGGCCTGACCCCTCTTCCATCTGCCCTGAGGCACTCGGCCCTTTCTCAAATGCCTCTCCGGGCAGTCTCGTCTGCCCTCTGGGTCCTGCGCAGCACGGCCTCCACTGCGTTCCTTCACGTGCCTTGTCCCTCACGTACAGTATTTAGGCAGCTCTGCCTTGGGTTGTGCGTGCCTGTGAGGCCTCTCTTTCCTGGTGGAAGGCAGGCACCGCGCCATGCACAGGTGAAGAACCGCGCTCCAGAGCCCTCCGCCCTGGGTGAGGACTTCAGCTCGGCCAGTCCCTGCCGTGGGACATGCAGCAAATTAGACCAACTTGGTCTCCTCAACGGGAAACACGGGACAGAAACAGCCTTCTCCCCACTGGGCTGTGGTGATGATTCCACAAAACAATAGACACCACAGGGCAGAGCACGGGACCTGTGCACTGCACGCATTAGTCACGTATAAATAGTGCCTCGGTCATCAGTAAACATCAGCGATCAGTACTGTGTCTGGATGACAGGCTTGGGTCCTCTATGGAAGCAAACAAATGCCACAGAGCCTAGAAAAATTATTTACATACAGTGACTTCACAGCAGATACTGCCCTAGTCGATGAAAGGACAAGTGGATATAATTAGACAAATCAGGGAACAGAACTTGAGATGGGGAAATTCCCTGGTGAAACAGATCCTGATGGACACTGAACCCTAGTGGGGCCCTGCTGCCTCCACCCCAGCCCGGGGACAGGGAGAGGGCAAGCTTGGCCGCAAGGCATGTGGCCGTCCACTCTGGTCGAGATCAGCTTTCTCTCTGGGTCAGCTCGTTGTCTGCAGCCTCTGTTTTCCGGTGAGTCTCTTCTCTCTGACCTACTCTTACCAAACCCACACAGAATTAGTAAATTAGAGAAATGAAGCAGCAGTCATCTTGGAAAATTTTTGGCCAAAAAAATTGAAAAGAGGGGATGTGGGGGGGGGGATGGAGGGAGGAAGGAAGGAAAGAAGGAAGGAAGAAAAAGAGAAAACAAGAGAATAAGCAAAAAAATGATAGATAACTCTATTATAAAAATTGAGATGTCCAAGCTGAAAGCTGATACCCTAAGTGATGTGCCTCCAGGATTTCCTGTAGGCCATCTTAGGTTAGAACAGTTGAAATAAACTTCCATATTAACCCCTTTCCCACCCACCCACCCCCTGATTGGGAGCTTCTAGGGAACAGGGACCAAGTCTTGATTATCACTATAATATGTGTGTAGTTTTAGAATTTCAAGGCCCTTTTCAGGCTAACACTGTAGTTTGAGCTCCGTGGTAAACAGGATTTACAGTGGAGGATGCTTAGAGTCGGGGAGGTTAGTGACTTACTCAGGGTCAGAGCCTAGTGAGTGGGGGCCACACCAGAGCCTGAGCTCCATGTGACTGGTCCCCGGCCGGCTCCCAGCCAGAAACCCGGTATGCCGTAGGTGCTCACTGCATACTTTGCCTGACTGAACCAAATTCGAATCAAAAGTACACTTTCTTAAGCTAAGAAAACTGACTTTCCCTGAGAGAAGCAGAATAAAAAGGAAATTGTGACTGCCCGCATACAGCCTTTAGTCAACAATTACTAGGTAAGCACCTGTAAGGGAAGGGCCAAGGTCTGGCCAGTAGGAGATCCAGAGAGGGAGACGCTAAAGACACAAATTCCTTTAGCTTCCCACAAATAGATGCTAAAGACACAAATTCCCAGATTCCCCATTTTACCCACAACGCCCCTGCAGGACACTGGGAGTCTTTGTCCTCCTCTCCCACCCAGCTTTTCCTTACTCTGCAGCTTTGCCTGCCTTGTCCCATAGGGTGGTGCTGTGCGTGTACCCCCACCTCTGTGAGTGTACCCTTGGGGTAAGTGCTCAGAGCTCTTGGGGTGCCAGCGGCAGCAGCCCTGGGTGCTCTCAGGAGATAAAGCAGGACAGGGAAGGGTGCTGGATTAAAGCCACTACAGCGCTGGATCTCCATAGTGACATCAACCCTTCCTTCTTGTCAACCTTGCAAGCCCCCCCCACCCCACGGTGTCTTCTCCCAAGCTCTTCTTCCCCCCGTCACTTCCCCCAGAATGAAGAGGGTTTCATAGGCCAAAGGAACCACTTATCCTTTTGTTCCTGTGAGGAACCTTATTTTCAAACATTCAGTGAAATATCATCTGCAGAGGCAGAAAGGCGAGAGCAGCACACACATGCAGAATCGCTCCCTGCTGGTCAGAGCATCACCTATGAAACAACTGTGACACACCAGGTGTCCCTTAAAAAAGGAAAGAGAAAGCAATTATCACCCTACCTGGATGGACAGAGCTCTCAGGCAGGTAAGGAGCTCTCTGCTCTGATTCTACCATGTCTTGTCCCTCAAGGTCACCTTTGCTTGTGGTGTCAGAAGCCCCACACCCTGAGCTTTCATGCTTTTATTCTTGCTATCGTCAGTGTGACCCACTCTGTTCTTTGTGTCCTTGAGGAGATCAGAGAGCTAGGGACTGAGCTAAGCCCCTGCCTCTGCCACAGTTCTCCAGCGTGTCCCTTTGGCTCCATTCATTTTCTCAGCACCTTTGGAAAGGAAGCCACACAGAGAATGGAGGGGTGCTTGGAACGTGTCATGACCTCGCAGTATAACATAAGGCAGAAGATTTGCACAGATGTGGTTGGTGTTTTGTGGTCTTTGTTCTTAGAGTCAGAGCCACGGGCAGGAAACCATCCCCCCGGGGCTAAGACCAGACCCTTCCCTCTAGGACCTATGCCAGACACCCTCCTCTTAGCCTCGCTGCAGCCAGTCCAGGCTCGGGATCTGTTAGGAGAGCCAGCCTTCCCCCATGACTGTCCCTGAGGCTTTCTGAACGATGGCTTTGGTGGCTGTGAATGCCACACCTCCCGATCCTCCTCCTTCCTCCCAGCGCTTGCTGCTCAAGGACCTCCACGAATGCTGAGCTGTGACTCCTGAGTCCTTACCTTGGGGGTTGTGGAGGCCCTGCTTTGACTTAATATGCAAACATGCAAATCTAAGCAAATTATGTGCCTGGATTAGCTGAACAAAACATCTCAGTATCCATACGCTAGCATGGAGCTCAGCTATACCCTGTCACCCGAAAGGCCTCTGTTGTTGCTGATGCTTCCCTGAGTCCCCTGAGTCCCGGGCCTCTTACCTTCTGGGTCTGGTTGTTGGTCACCAGTTCGTAGATGGGGGCTGCTCTGGTCACTTCCAGCAGGACTGGCTCAGCCGGAGTGTCAGGGCTGGATGTCACGTGGCACAGGGGACAGGAGGAGGGACATCGTCCCTTGCTCTGGCATTCCATGCGGACCCCAGCCGCCATGCGCTTGGTGCCGGACTCTGACAAGCTGGCGATGTACTCTGGGAACGTCAGCACCTTGGGGTCTCTTTCCCGTTCCTCTGACTCGTCGGATGGGGAGTTGCCTGCCAGACCCAAAATGAAAAGGGACAATGAGGCAGGCGAAAGAGCGAGGTCTTGCGTGATCTCATGGCCCCTGAGTGCTGGAGTCAAATCTTAGGAAGGTCACAAAATGTCACTGTCAGAGACATGACTCTGACGACCCCATCAATGCGGGGAACCCGTCCTCCCTCTAACCTATTGGGGTTCAAATGACCTTCCACACGTGAGATCGGGTTGTTTCCTTTTGGAGACTCCTCAGCTCCCCTGATCCCCTCCTCTGAGGGATGCCTCGGCGGTGTCTGTGTGGGGTCTGCGACTGTCAACAATCCAAACGGTAACAACAGTCCCAAACGGGACTCAGTTTCTTCATCCGTAAGATGAAGATATTCAATGTGCCTACAGGTGATGTGTGAGGAATAAATAAATGGCAACATGTTTTTAAAGCACATAACACAGTGGCTAGTACATGTCCAGTCATCAGCATAAGAGTTTTAATCAGAAGGAGAGGTAAGATTTACTTAAACTGTGAAGTAAGATCTGTCATGGGCCCCCTTGAACCCATGCAAGAACTCTCTGCATGGAGTTCCACCACTGTACCCATCTTATGGAGGAGGAAAGCGAGGCCAAGAGCCTCAAGGTCACACAGCTAGGATGTTGTAAGTGCTGGGATTTGAATCCAGTTTTGTCCGATTCCAAAGCCTTTAAGTCACTGGGAAGGAAGAGGACTTTTCTGCTTCCTTATTCTTCAGTGCGTGGAAGATGGGAGGGAGCTTGGCCCCTCCAAAGCAAAGAGACGGATTTATAATGTTAGGCTTTGATTGATGAGTGAAAGGTAGTTAGAGAAATTCTTGGTTTATTTTTGGTGACAAAGATGAGAAATGCCTACCTGAAAATAAGTAATACTTTATTCCCTGTGGAAGAAAACACGGCTTGGAATTTGTCTTCCAAGCGTTCATGATTTCCCATTTAACTTATTCATACTAGACAAAGATGGAAGTACAGTCCACTGACCAAAAGCCCTTGGGCTCCGTAAGAGATCCCAGACCTTTCACGACACAGCGACAGGCCCGAACATGAAACAATTTCACGGAGACCACTGGGCTTCTAGAAACAAGGGGCAGATACAGAACATTTGTTCTGGTCATCTTGGACTGCTCAGGAACGTGGTACTTGATGGGCCAGATCTTTGGGGGAAAATGACTAGAATGGTTTGTAAAGGGGTTTTACAGGGTGACTGCAAGCTACAGCTCACAGACTTTCTAACAGGGTTCTCTCCTGTGGGGTCCAGGGAGCTCTCTGCGCTCCTCCCCCAGGTTTGCTATGTAATCTGAGCCCATTTGGACATGTCACGAGACATTACGACACTGTTGTTTCCCAGATGAACACCCTCGTTACGTGGGTGAGGCAGCTTTCTCCAGAAACTCCTTCACACTAACATGAAGGACTCACTCGGTGACTGTAAACGTGAGGTATCATTTATTTCACATTTGCACTTTGTTTAATAACAAACCCAGAGTTGAACTGAAGCCTTTCCTAGGTTATAAGAACTGTGTAAGTGCATACACCATAAAGAAGAATGGTGTCAACAGGGAGGCCCAGGAGTCCACACCAGCCAGCCCCAGAGGCACTCAGTGCCACCTATAAATCTTTTTTTTTTTTTAAGATTTATTTATTTATTTGACACAGAGAGACAGGTCACAAGTAGGCAGAGAGGCAGGCAGAGAGAGAGAGGGAAGCAGGCTCTCCACTGAGCAGAAAGCCTGATGCGGGGCTCGATCCCAGGACCCTGAGATCATGACCCGAGCCAAAGGCAGAGGCTTAACCCGCTGAGCCACCCAGGCACCCCGCCACCTATAAATCTTGATCCACATTCAGGTTTAGGTGCCCTGGTCAGCCCCCCGGCTGGGAGTGATTGTAAGGTGAGCACAGTCTAGCAGGGCTCTCCCCACCCAGCCCCTGGCCATGCCTCAGTCTTCTTCAATAGGCTATATGGACTGGGCAGAGATGAGGTTTGGATTCTTGAAATGATTTCTAGAAAAATGGGCCTTCTTTCACTGAGAAAGTAAATGAAATTTTAAAAAAATCAGAAAAGACACTGTTTCTTTCCAAGACAAAGTTTAAAAAATTCTTGCAGTGCAAGAAACCATGCCAGAGAGCTTGAGGGTCTCTTGGAGGACCCTCATGGCCCTTACAGTCAGAAACATTTCATTAACCCACAGCCCTCCTTTTGTAGAGAAAGGATTCAGCAGGGGCTGGGAAAGATTTCCCACGAAATGACCACTAGAGGGGGACAGCAAGTCTAAAATGACTTCCGTGAGCACACTATCTGTGATGAATTCTGTGTGGCCACTTGGGCACCACACAAAAACTTATGGGGAAGTAACAGCTGGTTACTTAAAAAAGTTGTGGTACCATTTTTTTCAAAGAAATAGTATGACATTAACAAGTAACGTCATTCCATAAAATGTATCCCAAGGAGAAACAACCACAGTGAGATACAGAAGTAACTGAGAGACAGAAAATTAAAATCCCCTGGATATCCTTCACATGAAGTAAAATTTACTTCAAGGAGAAATTTTCTCTCCCCCTTTAATCCCCAAATACCCGGAACTCCGCCCCCTCCTCCCTACCACATACCCTATAAACATCCCTGTGTGGGACAACGGCCCATCCATTACTTCGGAGGCACCGGTGCACAGACAGATGCGGCCACTAGAGGGCACTGCATCCCCAAACACAGTGGAGCACAGTGACCACCTCCCTGCCCTCCAGCGCTCCATCATTAAGGCTTGTAATTGCTGTAAACGTTTGAGGGGCTGATTCCCTGGCCGCTGTCTTCTGACGATCCCAATTAAAATCAAGACTCAGGAATCGCCCTCCATATCCCCCCTGCCCGGGACAGGTGCAAGGTTAGGGAGGAGAGAGGCAGGGGGAGGAGGATGGCAAAGAAGATGGTGGCAGACCGCCAAACTCTTGTTTTAATCCAGAAGACAATTTTCCTTCTCCTGAAAATATTCTGCTCCTTAGAAAGGGGGCCTGCTGAAGGCCCCTCCAGTTCCCTCGTCATGCAGTACGGAGCTGGAGAGGAGCCGGATTTATACAGAGGTGATGAGCAGGGAACTCCCAAAGCCATCTATTCAGGCTACAGCAAAGAATAGAGATGTGTGTGTGAGAGAGATTTTTCAAAGAGGAAATGCATTTTCCATGCGCAGTTGAAGACACAATTGGGAAATACTCCTTAAAATGATGGAGTCCGGTGGTGAAAGCCCAAATAAATCTCCCTTTGCCCAAAGAGAGCACCTATAACCATCATCTCCGTGGTCAGTGAAAGAGTAGTTCAAATCCTAAAAGCTCCAGGAGAGTCTGATCTTTGACATCTGCTTTTAACTCCCCCTCCATGTTGCAGCGGGCGGAAGAGAGGTGGGTGTGTGGAGAGTCACGGGGAGGAGACCCCACCTTATATCCTTATGGTTCAACAGCTCCCCCTGCACTGGCCGCTCGCTTGGATGACGTTCCATAGGCACTTCTTGCCTCTTAGCTCCCTCTAGCTCCTGGGTGGAGACGCCTGAGAACTTTAAGACACTACTCAGTCTTTTAATAAAATGAACATACGATTTCAACAAGTTACAGTGTCTGGACATGAGAAAGGAGCTACAGCTGAAGTCTTAAAAGATTATAATTCGCGCAGGTGCCTTGTGATCAAGAAGCCCCAGGTGTGACCCCCTCTGATCCCTGGTTGCAGAATGCATCTCTCCACTCCCACGGAGGCGCTGCAGTCCAGCAATGATACTTCGCTTTCTTATAAGTAGAAGAACAGCCAACCTGGAATGTAGTTAACAGCCTCAAAACTGCAAAGCATTTTGCAAATACAGTCTGCTATAAATAAATGCCATTTGCTTTAGGCTAAATCTGTATCCTACAGCACACAGTGGATGAATTTCCCCAATAGAATATTGTGGAATGAGAATATTGGCATCCTCGATGTTCAGAATCTCACTGTGGATGTGCCCGTGGCTTTCGCCGTGTACACCCTGACCCACCTAGGCTCACGAACCATACGAGGATGATCAAAGTGACCGGCCCGTCCTCACGAAGGGTCTGCTCTGCTGGTAGGAACCAACAGGTCACGGAGTTGGAGGGAGATGGGATGAAGTAAATTACTATGATTCCTGTAGGATTCTGGGGCTGCTTAAGACTCTCTCTCCTGAGTTGGTGCCCAAGGCAATGAGATGCTAATGACATCACAGCTAGAACTACAGAGGTAGTTCATTAGGCAGCCAAGAAATCAAATGCAAACTAATTAGACACTCACTCTCAGAGACAACTCACAATCTACGGGAAAGAAAGCTTGACATGGGGCAAATGAAGCACAGCCATGGCCAGCTGCGCCCAGGAGCCCACTGACACCCCGCCTTTCATCCTTTCCGCAGCCCGCTCCTCTGCCCACAGGGCGTCCTGTGGTTCTCTGAATTCACGTTTCCGTCCATGCGCTCCAGCCCAGACCAGTCTCTGGGGATGTACGGTCACGTCCTTGGACAGAGAGGTTCAAGTCACCCTGGATGACTTAAACTGAACTCCTAGACTTGACATACGCCAGTCTCTTGAGACTGGAATAAAGTACAATGTGATGGATTAATAACCAGGGGAAAGAGGAGAGGGCATAAACGGGCCGCTTCTCTCTACTCCTCTGTATGAGACAGTGAGTGTTTGGGGTCAGTAACTGTGTCTTTATCGTGGGAACTGCATCCCCTAGTTCAGGTGTATCCATATTCATCATCTCCCTCCCTGCCTTTCTCTCTCCTCCCTCTATGTATATATACATGTATATGTTTTGGGGGGAAGGGTATATGCTTTTGGGGGAAGGGTAAAGGGGGTGGACATAATAACTCGTGATCATAGGTCTAAAATTTCAACACAAGCCAAACAAATAATACAACCAAAGCATTTATGAACTGCTAGCCCCTCACTAAAGCATTAAACCATCAAGTGGCAAGAACAAAACTTTCGTCCAACAACAGCCAAC